TTATGGTTTATTTGAAATTATTCTTGAAATATTTTTAAACACAATCAAATTTATTTATAATTATCCAATATTGCATTTAGAGGATTCTGCATAGCATATTTAGTAATATTTCTTACTTCTCTGTGATGAAATGTGGATTTAAAATAAATATTTACATATTTAATATGAATAATTGCTGTACTATATGTATTTGTAATTAAACCCTTATTTTTTAGTAAAAAAATACGAGATAAATAATTTTAGTTTTTCCTATTAAACAATAAATAAGGACACGTTTACCTTATTTACTGTTTTATAAAAAAAACTAAAAGTATCTATCTTTGGTATTTTTTTTACTAAAAAATAAAGGTTTGATAACAAATACCTGCACCAAATATTTATTTTACATCCATATTTTATGACAGAGAAATAACAATAGTAGATTATACCACGAGTCAATAATGATAGCTATTATTCCCGAGGATTATTACGAACTGAGCCGCGTTAGCGGCGAGGGAGTAACATTCCGAGGGAATAATAGCCATTATTGCGAGTAGTATACTCTACTTTATTTACGACAAATTAATTTTTTTCAGATTTTCAATGAACAAATTTCATCCGTCTCATAATTTTCAATACAAATCCACAAGCACTACACGTTTGACACTGACACTTTTGTGGAATAATGACCATTAATCCCGCTATACTCGTCATTAATCCCTGGAGGAATAACATATGTCATTATACTGCCAAAATCACAAATATAATACGCACATTATACATTAGTCGTAAATAAATATTATTAAATATTCAGCGAATGTAGAATCCTCTGAAATGAAATTAATTATATTAAATGGGTATTAGGAAAACAAATAAAAACTACATAATTTTTAGATGAAGCAAAAAACATTTATTTACTTAACAATAGTTAATTCGAGATAATATAAATGCTAAATCTTGTACTCTAACTATCAGGTACCTAATCCAAACTTAGATTAAGGTATATAGTTACTTAATCCGGAAGGAATGTTTATATATTTTGCAAATAACAAAAAAAATATCATTTGTATCTTGTATGTACATTTAACAAAAGCAAAATTTTTTGGTTTAATACAGCCAATTTATCCACTTGAAATAATAGAAAATTTCTTATATACTTATTGTAGGTACCCGCGCAAAAAGAAATTTACTTATTCGAGAAAGAATGTTTATATTTTGCAAATAACAGAAATTAATATCATTTGTAACCTGTACATTTAAAATTGCAAAATATTTAAACTTTTTTCGTTTATTAGAGTCTTCAATATAATTTGAAATAACAGAAAAAATCTTGTACCTACTTACTTTAAGTACCCGCAAAAAAAGAAACATACTTATTCTAGAAATAATGTTGATATTTTGCAAATAACAGAAAATAATATTATTATTTGTATCTTGTACATTCAATATTGCAAAATTTTTTGGTTTAGTACCTACAGTCAAATCATTCACTTAAATATAATTCAAAGAACAGAAAAACTCTTTCACTTTAATAACCCGCAATCAAAACTTAGGAATATACTTACTTATTCTAGAAGATATGTTCATATTTTGCAAATATAAACAATATCTTTTGTACCATGTACGGTAACATATATACAGGGTGTCCCAAATTCTAGGGTGACCATCATTGAGATCTCGGAAACTATAAGAGATACGAAGTGGGTTAAACTATTAGGCAGTTCGAATCAGCTGATAATTCAAGATGGCGATGCGGCACAAATGTAAACAAACCATTGAGGTTAGACATGCCTCCATATAAACACAGATATAAATGTGTGTTATTTCACTTATTTCTACCTGTTTCAGAGTTTAATTTGATGAATTTTAATTTATTTCAATTTTCTTTAATGTTCGTAGTTACTTGGAATATTTATCTATTAGTAAAATACCTGGACATCAGGTACAAAACGAACCCCAAGAAGCTGTGCCCCAAGTAAGTAGAAAGGCCTAAATATAAGTTACATCAAGGTGATTTTCTGCACCTCCGATCAGTTGTTCATGTGCTCCAGAACTGTAAGCAGTCTGAAACATATAGTTCATAAATATTTTTTGATTTTTGATAAAATGCAGAATGCTTATCTACAAAAGTTATTGCTGGAATCTCCTAATGTTGGGAAAAGGTAAAAGTTTGTAGTTCACTTGTATTAAAAGATAATGAGCATATGAAACATGCCTTGCCAATCTTGGCATTTTTGACAAATATAAATTGTGCCAGAGGCAAATGAATGTCAAAAACATAAATTACATGAACCACAACAACGCTAAAAATAAAAATTTCTATCAAAAAACGTTCTCGTTCCCAAACTGCTAAAAACACTTTAGAAATTCACAGAAAAATGGAAATAAACAAGGTTGAGGTGAGGTTGAGCTGTGTAAACAGCCTCTTATGGACGTCAAGGTTAAGTTTGTTATGCCGCAACGCCATCTTGAACGTCAAACATCAAACTGCCCTATGGCAAAGTTGCGCAATTTTATGACCAATAAAATGCAATAACTGCAATAATGCACAATTTATGCTGCAATCTACACAATACACACACAGAAAAGATGGCCACACGGCACGACCACGCGTGAACCTTGCGCTCCGCAACCGCCAACACGAACGCGCCAACTCAATCAAGCCAACTAAACTGTCTAAACAAACTTTGTCTAAACTTAACTGGAACCGGTTTAACTAGTAATACCTGGTACGAGACGTCTGCATCAAACGATGAGTTGATGTATAGACATGAATCGATTCAAAGAACGCACAAAACTATGATGCGAAATACATTGCAGTATTATTGTCTCCCAATAAACATAGGAGTGTAACTTTTAATAAATCGTGATTTATTATTAATACAGCCATATTATCTAACATCCAATATGATTTATAATTAAACAAGCCTTTTTTATCACAATTACTTATGATTTTATACATAATATTAATAAATTAATATGCAAAAATGTTTCTTTATTTTTAATTTTAATATTTCATATGCTAATATAATTGTTTCATAGTTAAATATTATGAAATAGTTTTCGCAGTACTTTTGTAGGAAATCAGCTGTGTTAATAGTAAATAATTCAGCAATAAATAAGGGAAGTATTAATAGATAATACATAATTTTTGGGCGTTTACTGTAAAGAAGCACGTGTTATTAATAAATGATCAAGTATTTTTATGAGTAATAAATTACATTGGATTCAACGGTGGAATAATATTGAAAATAATATTTCTATCAGTGTACATATTAGAAAATTAGCTTTTTACGGAAATGTACTTAACGTGGTTTTTACGTTGGACGAAGGTAATGGGTATAGGCATTGTATAAAGCCTAAGGCGAGCGCAGGCATTACGGGAAAAGTTTGTGCCACGGCCTTTATGCTGCAAATGCGTGCATGGCATTCTCTTTTCGAATTTGAAATAACATTGTTTAATCATATGCAAATTGGCATGTAAAATGAAATCATTAAAATTTTTGGTAAAAAAAAAATCACATATTTTATAGGTATATATCCTATTCACAATCCGTAGTCCAAAGGTAAAGGTAAATTTATCACCTTTCCCTATGAAATAGCACTGAAAGGTGATAAATTTTACTTTTACCTTTGGACATCGGATTGTGAATAGATAATATTTATATGTAGGGCTGCAGATGCGTACATGCCATTTTGTTTCAGCACTTGAAATATCTTTTTTTAATAAATTGCAAAATGGCAAGCAAAAAACAATCATTACTTTTTGTTTATATTTTTTGCAACTTTTTCCATGCATGCCTATTCAATGTTACGCCCTGAAATGCATCGATTTTCCCTATATAGCGGCTGCGAGCGGAGGTGAAAATCATATTTTTTCTTACTGTTTCTAAAATCAGTAGGTAAAACCTGTCACGCCCCTCCCAATCTATTTACACTATTTTTTTTTATTGGTATACGTTCAAATCATAAATTACTAATAATTGTAGAATGCTGAATTCGTGCTTGACATTTGTTTCATTTTATTTGACGTTATCTACAAGTACCTACTCCTGACAAATCAATAATTAAAAAATTGACATTTAAACCTTTCTCGGGTTGTTGGTTGTTGATGTTGTCATTGGTAACTTTAAAACACGCGCGTTTTTGAATGTTGGATTTAAACACGCTGAGGAGTACTTTAAATAAGTGAAATAGGTTATCAATAAAAAAAAGTACTTTTTCCTCCAAACGTCAAAAAAACGTCACTTTGTTAACCCCTGCCAAGATGTCAGAAATTTAATTTTTATGCTGCTAGGTAAATCTAGCGAGTTAACATCTGTCGAGGTGGTAGAAGTTTAATTTCTATGCTGCTTGGCAACCCCAGCGGCAGCAAAAGTACTTTTAGTGCCGCTCGTACTTTTACTGCCGCTCAACCATTCACTTGCCCCCGAGCTTACCGCATTAGTTTGGAGAAAAAATAGCGTGTTGCATACGGGGTAGAAGCACTTTTTTGTGCTTCAGTAGTATTGCAAGCCTCACTACGTTCGGCTCGCAAACCTACTGCTTCAGCACAAAAAAGTAAAGCTTCTACTCCTAATACAACAATATACTATTTTGTACGCCCACAGCCGGACAAAAAAGTGACGTCACAGAAATTTCCTAAATTCCATCGCTCTGAACACCGTTTGCGGAAAAAATCGCATGTTTTATTCGGAGAAAAGTACTTTTACTCCTAATAAAACAATATACTATTATCCTAGTAAGTAATAAAAAACCAGGTTGATAATAATTAATAAACAAATCAGAGGTGAATGTAGTGACTGACATCCTTTCAACTGCAGGCCTTATAACGGTATTTTTTTTTTGTAATATATATAAGCAGTATGAAAACAAATTTCGAAACTATAATTTCAAATAATATCTATTGAAAACAAATATAGGATTAAATCCATCATAATCATAAATCACTTGACGTTCAAAGTGACTTTTTCGAAAAACTTTATATAAATAGCAAATGCAAAATGTAGAATGTGCAGTGTTTTTGATATAGAGAAAGTAAATACCTAGCGAAAATGAAAGTTCTAACTATGGGTTCAATTTTTCTAGTTTGTGGGAGCTATAATATGGTGAAATCAGATTCTGACAATATTGATTGTAAGTTTTTTACGAATAACCATAGGCATTCTATATGTATAGTATTTTATCTACAACCTTGCGGTATCCTTCAAAATATACCATAGAGGTTTAAAAAATTTGTATGTATGTATGTATGTATGTATGTATGTATGTGTTGGAGGTGTCAGTTGCACTGCGACCAAGGTTGATCTATTGTACCCCTGCTTCTACTGCTAAGTTCGGATTTTCTGCTTAACGCAGCCCCTCTAGTCCTAGGTCCTTTAGGAATTTTAGGATGTCTTCCAGCTGTATAAGGGGACTTTCCAGGTTCTTCATTCTTGAGCGGCTTACGGCATCGCAGTTCAGTAGAAGATGGTGAGGTGTTTCTTCACCGTCTTCACAGAATCTGCAAGTGTTACCTTCTTCCAACCCCAGATTATTTAGGTGCTTATTCAGTCTGCAATGTCCCGAGAGAAACCCGGTTAGAGTTTTGAGACTTTTCTTGCTAAGGTTGACCAGCAGTTCAGATATTTTTTGGTTGTAGCTACCCAGTAGATCTTTGGCCTGTCGTAGTCTTGGTTGGTCTAGCCATTGTTTGTTCCTTAGCCGGTTCTCTTCCTTTTTGAGGATTTCTTGGAGGTGTGCATTTCCGACGCCGCAGAATGGTTCTGGCCCAGTGAAGGGAGTGGCCGCTCCCGTTTTTGCAAGTTCGTCTGCGCCTTCATTGCCCTCGACTCCTATGTGTCCAGGAACCCAGAGTAGGGTTACTTTGTTTTCCTTCCCCAGCTCATTGAGTTTCTGTAGACATTCCCATACTATCTTAGAATTGATTACCGGCACAGAACATATCACCTCTAGAAAAGTATCTGCAATGGTATGTACCGGTTATGAATTACGGCGCCCTCATTGACTGAAAACCCAACTAATCGAGTATTCTTGACAAAAAGGCGAATTGATATTTTTCATATATTTTTATTATTTTTGTATAATTTTTAATGTTCATCTGCATTTGGCTTGCTGACTCCTCTTAGCTCTTTTCGCCTCACTTTTTTAAAAACTATGACTGGCAGGAAGTTTCCGATGTCGAACATAGTGCAAAAAGAGTTAGTAAGTTAGCAAGAGTTACGCAGTTATAGGTAGATCGCAAAGTAAATAAGAATAATAAATACAAATACGAACGAAACAACAAAATGGCGAAACAAACGAATAAATACAAAAAAATACGAACAAAAATTAGGTTTTTTTTCAACCAAAACTTTTTGAATTTTCACTTTACCGCGCGTAGAAACCGTGGGGTACAACAACACAATTTAAAAATTCAAATTTTGACTTTTAAAATGACAAAATAAATGACAAAACCAACCAACACAAATCACTGTCCACGCCACAGATACCTGTAAATTTCTCTTATCTCCCGACAGTGTCGCCATCGTTGAATGAAAACCTAACTAAAAACCTTTGTCGCGTTTCTTCCATTTGAGATATTTTTCTATAGGTGATATGTTCTGTGATTACCGACGAGCTCAATGCTTTGATAGCTGCTTGGCTGTCAGATATTATTACAATTTCTCGTTTTCGGTACCTTCTGTTGGTTGAACTGCACGCATTTTCCGATCGCATGAAGTTCCGCTTGGAATATGCCTGGTTATTTGCCGCCCATCGGCTGGTATCTGGTTCGTAGCCCGAATACTCTGGCTCCTGTCCCCTCAGCAGTTTTGGAGCCGTTTGTGAACCATTTGATGGTGTTTGCTTTAAGGGACTGGATACATTCTATGTTCCATCTGTTCTTTGTACTTAGTTCGATGGAAAAGTTTTTCTCGAAACTGAATTTATCAACAATCACGTCTTTTGGTAAGTCCATGAGGTGTGCACAGTTTGGGAGAGAGAGAGTTCTGCCAAAGTTCGTTTTCCCTTGTAGACCTAGACCTATCTTCGCCAGTCTTAGACATGATTCACTGGCAACCCGCTTCACTATTGTGTGAAGTGGTGTTAGGTCTAGGATGACTTCCATTGCCGTGGTTGGGCATATTCTCATTGCTCCTGTTATGCATAGACATGCGAGTCTTTTTACTTTTCCTAGGGTTTTCCTAGCCGTTACTAGCTGGGTTCAACTGTACCAGGTTACCGCTCCGTAGGTGATGAAAGGTCTGACTATCATGGTATACATCCATCGTAGGATCGATGGGTTACAATCCCACGTTTTGCCCGCAATGTTTTTACATACCATAAGTGCCGAAATTTTTAAAACATTTACCTATAGAAAATAAAAATACGTATCTGGCACTCTGTCATTTTTAACAATATACAGGGTGTCCATTCAATACTCCAGTGTTCGATTGCGGCTATGTACGCGGATGAAAACTTTAATAGGGATATCGATCCGCTTGAAATTTGACAGTAAATGGTTTATCAATAACTCACTCCGTTTATTATCTTGTTTTAAGTAGGTACCTTCAACTCGGCTACAATTGTCGTGTGTCGTGGGTGTTGTTCCTATGCCAAAAAACCCAGGTTTGTGAACCTGGCAACCCACCGAGCAATGTTAGAAAGAATATCAGTGATGCCGCCGAGACGAGACGAGAAAATGCTTTCTAGAGAAATTCCCGACTAGAGTCGGGAATTTCTCAAGCTCTCCTGCGGGCCGATCCTCGAGCCAGGGAGTGGAGCTCCCCGAGAGAACAAAATTTTCGTCCTTATCATTCTCGTTTACTTTTCGATTACGTTGACAAGGACAAAACATTCGTTCTATCGGGGAGCTCTACTCCCTGGCCCGAGGATCGGCCACCTGGACGGCGATTCTCGAATCGTGTGATCCCTGTTCTCATAGGAAAAGTACGTGTGGTTTCTATTAAAATCTATTACGACGTATTCTCGAAATTAGGGACCGTTCACTTCCTATGAAAATTGAGAGAATTTTATTCTACTACTTTTTTTGAAGAGAAGGTCTGTTCTCGGGAGAACCAAACGTCAAACATGCGCTTTTTGTCAATTTTACAGTCATCATCATGGTGTTAGAGAATTCTTGCACTTCTTATTTTGCCATTCCGCTGTGGTTATCGTTATACTGAGTATGCGCAGTAGCTAAAAAATGTTCGTTGTACTTATCAACCACAACGAGCGGCGTTATTTAAGGAAGAATAACCTTGTGCTTATAGCTATACCTATGGATATGGTAAAACTGTATGGATGCCACATTGAAGAAAATTGAATAGATGTCATCCCGTTTTAATAAATAATTAATTAAAATCATCTGAAATTTGAGAAAATACAAATACAAATAAGTGTGGATTATCATTTTGATGTTATGAAATTGGTTTACATCCGAAGGCGCAGGCGCACTTCTACCAAATTCGAGAATCGACTACCTGGGGGGGTTTATTTGAAACGTGCAATTCAAATACGTCTGACTAATGGCGTTTCCGATTGGTAGATCTAGTGCGGAACTAGTGCAATTTTTTTTATTTCTGTCTTTTTCTTCTATAGGTCGATTAAAAGGATGCAAATACACTCAGTGCGCACTGAATCTACCAATCGGAAACGCCATAAGTCGCAATTTTTCGCGGTGAAATTCAAAAAAATGCACATGTGGCTTATTTGAAACTTTCGTCGACGCATTTCGCTAAATTCGTCGACGCAAGATTGCATTTTACATGCGTCACCTCTAGACCTCGTGCATTTCCAAATGGACCTTTCTCATGCAATGAACGACAAGGATAGTTTATTAAGATTTCTGCAATATAGAAAAAGACACATATAATGACGCGCGATACCTGTGTGGAATGACTTTGATTGGTTCCACTTGTCAAATTGTGCAATTTCGGTTACGTTTCTGTTTTGTTTATTTTTAAACGTAAATATGACAAAATAGGTATTAACATTAATTAGAAAGAAAACCCACCGCAGCAAAAATGTTTGCAGCAAACCTTTAATTGTACATTATTATTGTATTTGATATAAAAATCGTTATTTTACGAACCCTCAAATCTCTGTCCCAACTTAAATCGTCTTCATTCGGGTTGAGAGCACGTTACTATTGTTTTCTTACAATTTGATTGCCTGGGAACTTGTGAAATGAAAGGTTTCACTTCTATTTCGCCTAATTCTGACAAGAATTCATTCAACTCATTTGAACCATTGTATCATAAACAGTTTTTGTATTAATTTTCAGCAATATTGATTGATACTGATAGATTATTGAGGTTAGCTTAAATACGTCAGGGTCAGACCGTGTTCAGTAAATTGACGATTTAATTATCTGTCACCCACAAGATGCGCGCGCAGCACAGGTAAAATGAGTAAAATTCCTTTCATGAAAAGGAGTTCGAAAATTTTCCCGACAAAAGGGACCGATATTTGTTCAAAAAATTCGACCAAGAGTTCTTTCTGTTTTTTTGGTAACAAATCCGGACTTTCTCTTATTGGCACTTGCCCCCGCACTTTCTATCCTTTTTGCGGTATTGCCTTACACTTATAGAAAGAATGAACTAAGATAATATCAACAGAAAAAAAAACGAAAAAAACTCCAATTAAACACGAAACTTTATGCACGGAAATAATCAAAAAAGTTGTTGACGGTAAACAATTTCAAATTTGACATTTCAATGCATCGTTCCGTTTGGTCATATGAAATTTTCTAACAATGTCATTGGTTAGAATCTTTTACAGGACACGTTGCCAAGTTGAGTAGTGCAAATTTAAAAATTCACGATTTACAAAATGCACAAGATTTCAAATAAGCCGATCGTGAATTTTTAGAATTCGTCGACGCACATATTTCGACCGACTGCGTCGCATGTGACAGATTTGCACGGATTTCAAATAAACCCCCCCTGGTGATGAAAAGTAAGACATTTGATAACGTCAACGAGTTTTGAAAAGTGTCACTTTAAATGTCAAAATTAGAAAAAATTAATTATTGAATCAGATTAATTAATGAAATTAGATTAGATTTAGAAATTATCAAAAATCCATTTTCTGGAAAAAAAAAAAGGATTTTTGATTATAAATATCAAATTCTACTTTACCGCACACTATGCGGT